CCGAGTGAGACTGTCTCAAAGAAAACAACAAAAAAGAAATTTCTAAAAGTACAAAAAATAAAAATCACAATAAAAATCTCCACTATTCAGAGAAAACCACTGTTAGTATCTTACTGTCTATCCTTCCAGATATAGTCAACAGATATTGACTAAGTGCCTACTTTGTGCCAGGAATTGTTCTAGACATTAGATATACTGTGCTAAACAAGATGGTGCCCCTGCTCATAGAGTTTACATTCTAATAAATGATCTCTAGACAAATTTTTTTAAATGAGGCATGATTGCACTTATTCTCTTATAACTCTCTTTTTTAACTTGGTAATGTATCACTAATATCTTTATGGTAATAAAAATAATTGAGCATCATTATCAAAGGTGTGTGATATTTCACCATCAAGCTATATTAGAATTTCACAAATCCACAGCTAGACCTTTCCAAGTTTTTCAAAGTTATAAAAGCTTCTTTTTCTTCCTCTTTGTCTTCTTCTTCTTCCTCCTCTTCTTCTTTCTCTTTTTTCTTCTTTTTCTCCTTCTTCCTTCTCTTCCTTCCTCCTTGTTTTCTTCTCCTTCTTCTTCCTCTTCTCCTCTTACTCCTCCTCTTCCTCTTCTTCTCTTCCTTCCTTTCTCTTTTTTCCTTCTTCCTTCTCTTCCCTCCTCCTTTCTTCCTCTTCCTTTTTCTTCTTTCTCAACTTCTTTTTCTCCTTCTTCTTCCTTCTCTTCCCTCCTCCTCCCCCTTTTCTTCTTTTTCTCTTTTCCTCTTCCTTTCCTTCTTCCTCTCCTCCTCTTCCTCTTTCTTCTTTCCCTCCTTCTTCCTTCTCTTCCTCCCTCCATTTTCTTCTCCTTCTTCCTCTTCTCCTCTTACTCTTCTTCCTCTTCTCCTCTTCCTTTCTCTTTTTTCTCCTTCCTTCTCTTCCTTCCTCCTCCTCCTTTTCTTCTTATTTTCCATCCTCTTCTCCTCTTCCTTGTGCTTCCTTTCCTCCTCTTCCTTTCTTCTTTCTCTCCTTTTTCTTCTTCCTTCTCTTCCCTCCTCCTTTTTCCCTCTTCTCTTCTTCCTCTTTTTCTCCTTCTTCCTTCTCTTCCCTCCTCCTCTTCTTTTTCTTCCTCTTCTCCTCTTCCTCTTTTTTCTCCTTCTTCTTCCTTCTCTTCCCTCCTCCTCCTCCAACTCTTTCTTCTTCTTCCTCTTCTCTTCCTCCTTCTTTCTTCTTTTTCTTGAGGTAGGATCTCACTCTGATGCCTAGGCAAGAGTGCAGTGGCATGATTACAGCTCACTGAAGTCTCAAACTCCTGGGCTCAAGTGTTCTTCTTGCCTTAAGCCTCCTGACTAGCTGGAACTACTGGCACACACCACCACATCCAGCTAATTTATTTTATTTGTAGAGATGGGGTCTTGCTATGTTGGCCAGGCTGGTCTTGAATTCCTGGCTTCAAGCAATCCTCTTGCCTTGATTCCAAAGTGCTGGGATAACAGGTATGAGCCATTGTGCCCAGCCTACTCTCTGTACTTCGATGAAAATCTATGATTCATTTTTATTTTTATTTTTTTTCTTGAGATGGAGTTTCTTTCTTGTCACCCAGGCTGCAGTGCAAGGGCACGATCTCAGCTCACTGCAACCTCCTCCTCCTGGGTTCAAGCAATTCTCCTGCCTCAGCCTCCTGAGTAGCTGAGATTACAGGCGCCTGCCACCACGACCAGTTAATTTTTGTATTTTCAGTAGAGACAGGGTTTCATCATGTGGGCCAGGCTGGTCTTGAACTCCTGACCTCAGGTGATCCTCCTGCCTTGGCCTCCCAAAATACTAGGATTACAGGTGTGAGCCACTGTGCCTGGCCTATGGGTCATTTTTAAAGTCACAGTAAAGGATAGCATGTTTATGTAATACTTCTCTTCCATAAAAGCACATCAAGGCTTTAGAGGTACATCTCTCAACAAAAGAGTCTTCACCCATTTCTTCCAGAAAATGACCTTGCTCTTTTGTTCATCTTTCTCCTCTTATTGCATTAGGTTTAAATCTCTGAAATGGAGAGGGATGACTTTTGCAACTAAAAGCATTTGCTAGGCCTAAGGCTAATGCCTTATTAAAGTATTTTAGTGAAAACTCAAGGCACAGGACAGAATAGACTTACCATTATATCCGGCGCATGTGTACCAAGAAGTAGTTCAGGAATTGTACCTGAAAATGAAATCTGCAGTGGGAGTAGGCACTCTCCATGGTATACATCTCTGGAGAAACCTTTGATCCTGGATGACTCTTACAGAACTGCAGGTTTGGCAGTTTTACAGGGAGGAGAAAGTTATTCTAGAGAATATGATACAGAAAACCTTCAACTTATGTATTTCCTGAAGTTCAATGATAAATCTATTATTTACAGTATAGAAAAGTACTTAACTCAGCAACACATGAGAACGACAACTATTCATTGCACACCTCTGTTATGGGCAACGCACTGTTAAAATATACTTAAAATGATTATAATCTCAAGCTACTTCACCAAGACTTATTTCACCCTCCAATAAGTTGAAAGGCTGAATTTGCCATGAAGAATAGTATATAACAATATATTGTTATGATATTGATACATTTTTGATCACCTACTGTTTTGAGAAAAATGTGTAAGGCAGTATGGGGGTTACAAAGATGAATCTGACAAAGACTTGTCATTAAAGAGTTCACTAACTGCATACAGTAGCCTCTAGCTATACTCAAGCACTCAAAATGTGGCCAGTTAGAACTGAATCATGCTGTAAGTTGCGGGGCAGTGGCTCATGCCTGTAATACCAGCACTTTGGGAGGCTGAGGTGGGTGGATCACGAGGTCAGGAGATCGAGGCCATTCTGGCTAACATGGTGAAACCCCGTCTCTACTAAAAATACAAAAAAAATTAGCCGGGCACAGTGGCGGGTGCCTGTAGTCCCAGCTACTTGGGAAGCTGAGGCAGGAGAATGGCATGAATCTGGGAGGCGGAGCTTGCAGTAAGCTGAGATCGCGCCACTGCCCTCCAGCCTGGGCACAGAGTGAGACTCTGTCTCAAAAAAAAAAAAAAAAAAAAAGAACTGAATGGTGCTGTAAGAAAACTGCACTGGATTTCAAAGACTTAATATGAAAAAAGAACGTAAAATCTTTCATTAGTAAGTTTTAATAATGATTATATATTAAAATGGTAATAATTTCAACATCTGGGTTAAATAAAATTACATATGTGACTTGCATTATATTTCATTTGGCAGTGTTGATCTACATAATTATAGTATCACCTACTGAGTGTATCTACTGTATGCCAGGTAGTTTTATATCAATTATTTGTAATCTTCCAAAGGAAGGTATTCCAGATAAGAAACCTGAGGTTGTGAAAGGCATATTAATTTATTCTTCTACACACCTTGTATTTTCTATGCACCAAGAGCTGCCACAGGCAGTGAGGATAAAACAAAGCAAAGTCCCTACCCTCATGGAACTTACGAACCAGTGGGAGAGAAAGCTAATAAGTATAGTAAGTAAGTATAAAAAATAGGCCAGGCAGTGACAGTAAAAGAAGATGAAGTCCATTAAAAAAATGGAGGGTGACCGGAATTGGAGTGAAGGCAGAAGGTTTGGGGGGACGGCTATTTTTTAAGATAACAAGCTCTAAGAAGGGGCTATCTAAGCAGAACCTGAATGAAGTCAGGCAGTGAGCCCTGTGAACATCTACCTGGCCAGGAGCTTCTGGGAAGAGGGAACAAGGACTGAGGTGTATTGTGTGTGTGTGTGTGGCGGGGGGGGCGGTGGTGGTGTGTGAACGCGTGCGTGCATGTGTTTTGCACTCTGAAGGAACAGCTGGAGAGTCCGTGGTGCTAGAGAGCAGTAAGCAAGAGGAAGCCAGGAAACAGTTTACGTAGGGACTTGGAAGTCACGAGTAGGAAATGTTGAAGGATGACTTTGGCTGCTCTATGAGGCATGGACTATTGTGGGGCATGCATGGAACCCAGCAAGAATAGACGCCAGAGCACTTTGAGAGGTCAAAGCGGGTGGATTGCTTAAGGTCAGGAGTTCAACAGCCTGGCCAACATGGCAAAACCCTGTCTCTACTAAAAATACAAAAAGCCGAGTGTCATGGTGCACACCTGTAGTCCCAACGACTCAGGAGGCTGAGGCACAAGAATCACTTGAACCTGGGAGGCAGAGGTTGCAGTGAGCTGAGTTCACACCACCGCAGTCCAGCCTGGGCAACAATGGGAGACTGTCTCAAAAAAAAAAAAAGAAAAAAAAAGAAAGACAGAGACTCGTTAGGAGGCAACTGCAAAGGTGCAGGACAGGGAGGGCTAACAGTGAGAGAGCTAGAGCTTCAACAAGGTCTGTCTAACTCAGCCACTGTAAGATACAAAGTAAAACAATGTAAAAATTATTCAAAAATTTGAACTGCAAAAATCCAACATCTGGGTAATTCAAATACATTTCAAAATATATTTGGGAGTCTGTGGTTATCAGAACTGGCAGTCAAAAATTACCATCTAACCTCATAGGATAGTAGTTTATCTCTGTCCCTTGCTTTCTGCCAATTTAACCTAAGGGAAGTAGACTTGAGATCCATTAATTGGCAGAGCGGGATTGCAGGACCTTTAAGTCAAATTCAGATAAGGCAAATCAGCTTTATTTCTGCCAAAGAAAAGTGTTTGGTGGAGCCAGATGACAATTTTGTAGCCTAAACTATTTGCACTGGCTCTGTCTACCATCTGAATTCACTCCCGTTATTGTTAATTCTGAGTTTAAGCATAGCCATACAAGCAAGACAGAGTTAAGGAAGGAACTAGAAATTGGCCATGTCTTGGATATATGACTATGGGTAACCTCACTCAAGGAGTCTGTTTTTATGGACAGAAGTGCTTTAAAACAGAAAGCATCCTCAAGGTCAAATGTCATACAGGCCAAGTTCTTCCTCTGAGAGGTAAATAAGGATTTAAAGCAGTCACCCAGTTTCAAATGAAAACAAATACAGACCATTCCCAAGGACACTCAAAAGCCATGTCATGAAAAAAGGAGGCTCAATCCTGACCCTCTAGGTTGGTTTATTTACTTTGACGGAACTCACTGGAAAATTGTTCAACTCTACGCTTCACTGTGCCTGTGCAGGATGTGTTTTTTGGGCATTGGATGTAGATCTTGTCAATCAGGCACTTTCCTGGAGCACTAAAATGTACAGATTACACACATCAAAGGCAGGCTGCAACCACTGTAGTTGAAATTTACACAAATCTGTGCGGCTAGTAACCGGATAAACAATGAGACTAATGACCTTGTTCTGCATTAATCTCCCAATGGCTCAGTTGGTACTGCAAGAAGGTTGTGGCTTTGGCTTCTAGCCTCAAACCAGGGATTATATGCTTGCCCAATGTCAACGGAGCCCAGGAAGCCTGAGAATACAGCCCCAGTCCATCCATTTTATGAGGTGCATTTACCACAATTCAAGAAACACATCCATTACCATATCCATCCAGGAAAGAGATTTATAAAAATAAGTAAATTCCTTGGCCATGCCTCCCCTTTCAGGGAGTTTATTTTCTTATAGAAGGCCTCAGGTTTTCCTTGTTTTCAGGGTCTCTCCATTGCCCTGCAAAAGCAAGATAGAATCCTTGATCTATGTTCCTCTTTTGGCCAAGAATAAATTTCAAAAAGGCTGCATCTGTAAAGAAAAGGGAAAGGAAGAATTGAAGTTGACCAGTGAACTTGATCAGCATCCACTTTTAATTTGGGACATTTGGGGGAAAGGTGCATTGAAAAGAGAAGGTGCTTTCTAAGTGCCAATAAAAATTGCTATAGAGTCCCTTCTACACAATTGGCAAAGGCTGAAGGTTGCTGCTGGCAGGAGGCAACTGAAGGAGATGGAGCATCTCAGGAGGAGTCTGCACCCTGGGCAGTGTTGGGCCATGCCAAAGGGACTTAGGAACCCTGGAACCCCACCCACCCCCCAGCCCTGCTGCTTTCATCACTTTGTACACAGGTCACACTGAAAAGCTTATATTGGAAAATGGCTCCCAATGAGCCCAGGAAATGGCTCCCTTGGTGGGGTTACCTTAGGTTAGAAAAGATCACACTGAAGTGCATTCAGCTAAATGCCCTATATACCACACCTGTGGTACTCCTGTCACTTCACAGTCAGCCCTATCAATAATCTTCACTGCATTGTAAACTTGAGATACCTCTGCCTGGGATACATAATCACTCTCTATTTTAAAACATAGATTTTGGTGGCACTTACACAGTCCCAAGAAACAACTCTTATATACCTTTCTAGTCACTCTCCCCACCTCTGAGTCCTTACAACTGTTGTTGGGGGTATTTTATACACATAAATATTACTACTTTCTCAGGCCATTATACTAAGACTGTTTTTAGAGCTGCTGTAATGTGTGTTAAATGTCTCACAAAAAGGTACTGTTTTCGGTGTTATTTTCTTCATTCATTTATAAATTCATTGAGAGCCCAACATAAACACGAGTTAAAGCATATTCACCCTGTTCTTAAAATGTTTTCTCATTACACTCACTTGGGGGGTAACAACCGCTTCAATGGCCTTTGTAACACAACTGATGGAGGCGTGGAGATGGTCATAGCGTGTGTATGAGTGTGTAACACTCATACACGAGAGTGTAACACTGTCCCCATTTGCTCCTGTGGTAAGGGTTCCTAGGGCTTCAGAAGTTTTTGATTTTGCAACTTAACAGGTCCCCTTAAAAGGATCGTCTTTGCTTCATGGACTAATAATACCTTACATTTGTACATACTTTCACATGCATTATCTCACTTAATAGTACGATATTATATCCATTTTTCAGAGAGGAAACAGACTTTGGGAGAGGTTAAATGGCTTGCCTGAGGTCACCAATGGCATGAGAGGGAGTGGCAGGGCCCATCTCCAACCCAGGATTTCTGACTTTTCGCATCACAGTATTTCAAAGCTGTCTCTTTATTTTAGTTACTTCCATAACAACAGAAGTGAAGGGACCTATAGTTTTTTAACCTTAAAAATACAAAGGTTTCTGATTGAGTGGCCTATAAGAAAAGATCTCTGCAGTCTATCGACGAAAGGGTTTCAAATTATAGGGATCAACTGTGATAGTGAGTACTTTGATAAAAATATTAACATTGGTTTTCCAGAATCTAACTTCTGTGAAAGAAAACTATACGGTGCACCATATCATGTGTAGAAAAAAAGGACCACTATACACAACGAACATATCCACACGTGTTGGGTCAACGTTCTCTTCCCAAATGTGGCCGCAGAAGAAAGTGCGAAGAGTGCTGAAATCAGACAATATTTACGACTGAAGAAATTCGGCTTCACATACCTGTAATTATGAACAAGACATTTTCCCTAATAAAAGTACTCCAAAACGAAATATAGAGAAACTGTTTCCCTATGTTCTCTTTATTTTATTCCATGTGCTCAAGAATGGTCACAGAAAGAGGCAAAGGGAGCAGAGAGAGAAAGAAAGAGAGCTATATAGAGAGCCGGCCTCTGCTGAGGGTTGGTTTTGCTTTAGAAACTGGAATGTGTCCAGGCTTGATTTTTATTTTCAATTCACATTTCAGATCCAGCTCCCCAAACTCTTTGATCTTTCTCCCTGTCTCCTTACCCGGAAGAGAACCCTTGGCCTTCTCAGCTGGGAGCTGGGAGCACACGTGGAAAGACTGGCTCGGATCCATATTCTTGCCAAATTTAGTCACACAAAGGGGCCTGCGAGGGAAAAAAGAAAGGATGAAAGCGGCAGCCGCCGCGACTTCAAAGGCCGCGCCGCCGCGCCGGGCCCTGCGCAGGCGCCGCCCTCAGCAGATATAAGGCGCGACTCGCGCGCGCGGGCGGCCTTTCCGCGCGCGTCCCCGACCCGGGGGGCGGGCCGAGGGACAAGGAGGGACTGGGCGAGGAGGGCCCAGGGCTGGAGGCTGCGGCCGTGCTACCCGCCGGCCTTCCGAGGCCGGTCCCCGTGCCAAGTTCAGGCGCCTGAGAAAAGTTTTTCAGAAACGAGGGACAAGAATGTCACGTCCTGCCCACGAAATGAGCAGTCCTGTGGCCCGCAAAATGACTCCAGCTCCCACCTCCATTCCTGCTCCAATCTAGGCATTCCCCATGCGTGGGAGCCCGGGTTCCCGTCGCGGAGAGCAGCCCAGCGACGAGGGCGCGTGGCCGGGCCCTGTCTGGCTCGTTCGGCTCCCCTGTGCCTGCCTCGCGTTGCTGGTTCCCGTGCGCTCTCCTACCGGCGCGATTCCTCTCCCTCTTGGGCACCCTTAGGACGTGTACCCTCACCTCCCAGCTGGCAGAGGGGCGGCCTGCAGAGCGGGATGGGTTGCGCCCCTTGCCCGCGGGCCGCGGGAGGAGGCGGCCCTCTGGACAGCCGCGCCCGGGACCCCTACCCAGCGAGGCAGGGACGCGGGGCTCGGCCTGCACTGGCCCAGCGCGGGGAAAGCCGCAGGAGGGCGGGAGGGGTGGCGGACCCCGCTCGCTCGAGCCCCGCGAGGCTGCGCCGAGCTGCAGACGCCAACGGGCGCCGGCCCCGCGGAAGCCCGACGTCCGCAGGCGGCCGGATTTGGGAACGACTTTTTCACGGTCCCACGAGTTCCCTGATACCCCGGAGGGTGGGGGGTTGAGTTTGTTTGTCTTTAGGAGGCGGCAAGAAGAAGCGGAAGAACCCCTGGGACACAAACTGCCATTTCCCTCGCCCCCCCTTCTCTCCTTTTCCGCGAAGTCCGTTAAACTGAAGATGCCCCACAGCTTTCGTCTCCAGGCGAAGACGGGGTGGGAATTCGAGGGGGTCGGAGTTCCGCCTCTGGAGTCACATTCTTCGTTTTCTAGCCCTTCTCCTCGGCTCCTGAGTATCCTCTTCCGTAGGCCCCGCCACCTCCTTCCTTTGGGATCCCACCAAAGTTGTAGCTGGGAGAGAGTCCAGGCCACACAAAGGGGAAGACCTGGAGCCTGGGCGGGGGTTAGGACCGAGGGGGCGGAGAGGACTCGAGGGGCACCGTGCTTTTCTCTCTTCCTTGTAATTAAGGACACACTGGACTGTCTGTAGCCGACTCGAGTTGGCAAAAAAATTGCGGGGGGGGGAGGGGTTTTCTGGTGTGAGTGGCGGTCACTCCTGTGGCTCTGCTGCCCGCTCCCGAGCTTGACTGGGCTCCGCTTACCCCGTGGGCAGCGAGGCCGTCTCTTCTCCCCGGCTCCTCTGTTCTTGTGCGGGGTGGGCGCCTCGCCCCCCACGCACAGTTGAGGCGACGGCGCCCGATGTAGAAGGAAGTGTTGATATAAAACAAGTTTGCTCCCAAACTAAACCCAAACCAAGCAAAGCCACCAGGAGGGGAAAAACCAGCAGCAATCCAGCCAGCCCCTAGCAATTGTTTTCACGGTCGGAATTAAATCACATCAAAACGCCCCCTGAAACCCACATCCTGAAGGAGTGAACCTACAACAGCCAACCTCCAGTCGTTCGCTCGAGTTCACACGAACAACTTGCCTCTAACATCCGAGTGAAGGGGGCGGCGGGCGGCGAGTGCCTCTCCCGCACCGCACCCACCACATCCCGGACCTGGGATCCCACTCGCACCCGAAGAGGCGGCTGCTTATGTTAATACCAGCCCCCACACGAATTAGAAAAGACCGCCCGGTGACAGAATTGCCTATGCCAGAAACTACACTTAATCCGTAAGGGAGGGGGATGAACGTCTTCCCCGGGTTACTTCGCCCGTCCTGCGTCCTCCTGCTTTTTCCAAAAGAAAGACTTCACGTGGAAGTGTCAACCTCTCTCCCAAACGAAGCTTAACAAATTTGGGGCGCATGGATTTTACTAAAGCCCCTTCTAAGTGCTGCTCATCAGAAGATTTACAACAATCCTAAAGACAATCAGCTAACACCAGTTACACCACTGTAAGGAAAACAGCCACGCAAATAGAACAAGGTGCTGGGTTATTTCGTTAGAAACAATGTTTTCAATGGACAGGGTCACAGTAAAATACCAAACGCAGCCACCTACCCTTGGCCCTTCAAGTAAACAGTTTCCACTATTGTTCTAAAAATTCGCATCTTCTTGAGCTTCTACCCTTCAGGAAACCTGGAGCATAGGCTCCAAATGACTCGGGGAATCCAGAGAGTTAACATGAAGGAGAAAGTGGCATCTGAATTAGTTTCAGCACTTAAACAGCGGGGGGAATGTAAGAGTCATCATTTAATCTCTCTTTGGCTTCCAGAAACTACCCCCTAGCCATTCTGTATTCCTCCCTCCCCCTCCTGAGGGTTTGATGAAAAGGAACCTCTACTCTGCTTTGGTGAAACTGCATTTTCTAGTTGTTTTCCTATTGGTCAAATTGGTGCAGTTATGGGAGGACTTTTGACTTTATTTTCCCATATGTCTTTTAAGAATGGGGCTATAAATGTCTGACACAGCTATATGTTCACCTCTCTGGGACACTCACTCACACTGGTGCATAACTTTAAGGGAAGTGACATACCACCATCATCCAAAAACAAAAATTGGGTTTCTCACACACTGTAGCAGAATATACTCCTTTTCTTCTCTTGAGGCATAGCATTGTCAGCTATTAAAAGTGGATTTAATGTTTTACTTTTCGTGGATTCCTTCACCAACCCCTTAATTTTAATCCAATCTCCCAGATAGAATTTACATGTGACTACTGGCCATATTCTAGGGACCAACTGGATCCTTCGTAAAGTTTTAAAAATTGCTTCCTAGTAAATTCTCATTCCCAAGAAGTAGTAGTTATTAGTAGGTGAGGTTTTAAGTGCTCACTTAGATACAGCATTGTTAAAATCTTTACCCATTCAATGTTCAGCAGCCTGAAATTTCACCTTTAGGAAAAGAAGAGGAATCTTTGCTAGACCATTCCTATATAACAGAGCAAAATCTGATTCTGTAGTGTTTTCCTTATTTTCAATTTAAGGGAGATGAAGATACATTTCTTTATGTCCTTTGTTTACTGTTCTGAAGTTTTACAGATGGCTACTGTATTGGATATAATAATTTTGCCTAGATTTTTAACAGAGGGGGTTTGAGAACCAAGGGACAAAATGTAATGTGTTTTCAAACTTCAGCTTCCGTTCTGCTGTAACTTTCACAAAGTATCTCCTGAAAACTCCTGTCTTTGTACAAAATGCATCAAAGACATAGTGGAGACTGGGGAATTTTTGAGGTTGTATTCGGATTTGCATCTTCAAGGGTTCCTTTCAGCTCACAGTCCAAGGTGCCAGGGACTACCCCGTCCTCCCTCCCTCTTTTGGCTTTGCTCTCCTGAGTCCTTTTGCCTTCTCTTCCCCCTTCTTGGATTATCTTTTCATTCTCAATGAGGTTCCCACACACTGCGGTGTGTGTCTTTGAAAACCCACGAGAGACCTAGCACAACTCTCCGTACATCCCGTGGTGAGGACAGAATGAAAGAGATATTGTTTAAAAAGCAATAATTAAAATCTAGTCTTCAGTTCCTTCTTCCTCGTCATATTTTTTCTCGGCAAGCCTGGAGATTTTATTTTCACTAGCGTGTTCCCTTGTTTCCAAAGAGCGTGTGTGTGATATTATATTCGGGAAAGCCACAACTCTCTTTTTCTTGTCCTTCTGTTCTCTCTTAATAGTTGAGCAATGTCTGTTATATTTTCCCCTTTTCCTTCTTTTCTCAGTCCCAGATTCCCGCCTCTCCCCACTGTCAGAGCATCTATCAATGTGGTGTCGATCACAGCGGCGGCGGCTTTCTCTTTCATCTTCCTCCCCCGGCCAGAACGAGGGAGGGAGAGTGGGAGGCGTCAAGGAGGTAGGGGAGAGACTGGCAGAGGAAAAGGAGTGGGTGGGTGGGGGCCAAGAAAATAGATACTTAGATGATGAAGTCAAGCCATCGCGGCAATGTTTCTTGTCAATTTCACGCGGGCAAAGCGTGCCTCTCGGTGGGTTATAAGCAGCGCCCGGTCATTCCTTCTCTCGCCAAGTTGCCTGATCCTTCCTTCCAGGCGCGCGCGCACACACACACTCACACACCCCAAACCCAATACTCGTCCTACAGGATCTGGGAAAAGAGAAAGAAAAAAAGCCCTCAATCACCACCTCCTTCTCGCCGACTCCCCCTCACCCCCCGCCTCCCCTCCAGCGGGCAGCCAAGGAGAGCTGGAGGCGGGGGAGGGGAGAGGGAGGAGAAGCGACGCAAGTGGGTAGCTTTTCAGCGCCGGCTAGGCGCGGGAGGAGGAGAAGCAGTGGGGAGGCGCAGCAGCTCACCTGCGGGGCAGGGCGCGGAGGAGGGACCCGGGCTGCGCGCTCTCGGGCCGAAGAACCAGGACGCGCCCGGAGCCTCGCACGCGGCCAAGCTCGGGGCGTCCCTTCCCCTCGGCTGGGCGAACCCAAGCGGCGCAGCTCTTTGCTTTGACAGAGCTGGCCGGCGGAGGCGTGCAGATCGGCGAGCCGGCGAGCCAAGCTGAGAAATTCGAGCCGGGAACAAAGAGGGGTCGGACTGAGTGTGTGTGTCGGCTCGAGCTCCAGGCAGAAGCATTTGGGCCCGAGGTCCCCGCTGTGACTCCCCGAGACTCCGCCGTGCCCTCCACTGCGGAGTCCCCGCGCTTGCCGGCAAAAACTTTATTCTTGGCAAACTTCTCTTTCTCTTCCCCGCCTCCTCGGCCCCCACCTTCTCCTCCTCCTCCTTCTCTAGCAGATTAAATGAGCCTCGAGAAGGAAAACCGAAGCGAAAGGGAAGAAAATAAGAAGCTCTAAAACGGACATCTCCAGCGTGGGTGGCTCTTTTTTCTTTTTCTTTTTTCCCACCCTTCAGGAAGTGGACATTTCGTTATCTTCTGATCCTTGCACCTTCTTTGCTGGGGCAAACGGGGCTTTTTGCCCAGACCCACTCTCTTTTCTCGGCAAACAAACTACTAAGTCGGCATCCGGGGTAACTACAGTGGAGAGGGTGTCCGCGGAGACGCGCCGCCGGACCTTCCTCTGCACTTTGGAGAGTGGTGCTCCCTCCAGAACCGGCGTCCTCCGCGCGCAAATCCCGGCGACGTGGGGGGCGTGGGGTGGCCGCCCGGGCAGCCTCGCCTAGCGCGCGCCGCGCAGACGCCCCCGGAGGCGCCAGCTACCTCGGCCCTCGCCGCCCAGTGCCCTTCGGCCTCGGGGGCGGGCGCCGGCGTCGGTCTCCGCGAAGCGGGAAAGCGCGGCGGCCGCCGGGATTCGGGCGCCGCGGCAGCTGCTCCGGCTGCCGGCCGGCGGCCCCGCGCTCACCCGCCCCGCTTCCGCCTGCTGTCCTCCTGCACGAACCCTTCCAACTCTCCTTTCCTCCCCCACCCTTGAGTTACCCCTCTGTCTTTCCTGCTGTTGCCGCGGGTGCTCCCACAGCGGAGCGGAGATTACAGAGCCGCCGGGATGCCCCAACTCTCCGGAGGAGGTGGCGGCGGCGGGGGGGACCCGGAACTCTGCGCCACTGACGAGATGATCCCCTTCAAGGACGAGGGCGATCCTCAGAAGGAAAAGATCTTCGCCGAGATCAGTCACCCTGAAGAGGAAGGCGATTTAGCTGACATCAAGTCCTCCTTGGTGAACGAGTCTGAAATCATCCCAGCCAGCAACGGACACGAGGTGAGCCGGCCGCTGCCCCAGTTCCGAGAGGCGTGGCGGTCCCTGGGAAACGCAGAGAGGGAGGAAGGGAGGGAAGGCGCCCGGCCGCCCGGCCGAGGGTCCCGAGTAGATCCCTCGTTTGTTTTGGGGTGTGTGCGTAGCTGGGGCCCCGGTCCGCATTGCATGTGTGTGTGTGTGTGTGTGTGTGTGTCTGTGTGTGTGTAGAATGGGAGGTAGAGGGGCAGGGAAACTTATTCCAACTGGATCAGTTTAGGGGGTTCGGTGGCTGAACGGTTGGTTCGTGGGCAGGAAAACGTGCCCTTAACCCACAATGTTTCGTCTTCGGTCTTTTTGTTGCGCTGAGGAGTGCCAGGCTTTAAAGCGAGTATGGCTGAATAACGCTACTGAGAAATTCTTCCGTGGGACGGAAAACAAAGTGCACCCGCTATCTTTTGGTAGATGTCTGCAAAAGTGCGTTAAACCACCAGAGGCTTAGGTGGAGACGAGCAGAGCCACAGGCAGGAGGAAGGGGAGGCGGGCGTGGGCTGGGGCAGGCGGGGCCGTCCCTACCACCGCCGAGACGGGCCGCAGGGAGCCGGCCGGCCTAGGGGGGCGCGCGCCCGGGCTGTGGGGGCGGTGCGGGGTTCAGTCCCTGCGGCCCCAGAGCCTGGGCTGGCAGCTGGGAGCTGTGGGTGCGCCGAGCCGACCCACCCCAAGCTGTACCGCCCCCAACTCTAGTTTTCTCCAACCGCCATCACTTGGAAACAAACCCACAACTTTTATTTGGGGTTTGGGACCGGATCAGGCCTTAAATCTATGCAAAAGAAAGGCGGAGAAGTGGCGGAAGCCGGGCACTAGTCCGGCTGGGCGGAAGGCGCTTTATCTGGTCTTCTGGTCCGCTGCGGGCAATAGAGCTGGTAACCTGAGTAGAGTAAATAGAGACACGTGGGTGCTGGCTGGAGAAAGCGCGGAGCGGGGCCGCGCTGGAGGGCTGTTTGAAGCCTAGTCCAGAGCTGGTAGGGGGCGGATGGACCCTGATACCTGACACTCCACTGGTCACCCTTGTTCCACAACTGGGAAACCTTTCTCTAGAGGAAATCCGGTAGAAAAGTCCTGACACCCGAATGATTTAACCAACGCCTTTTCCCTCCAAAGAAACTTGAAGGATATACCTTTTTTTTTTCCCTTAAATGGCATCTTTCTACCCCCAAAAAGAAAGTGTGTGGTTTTGAGGGCGGGGACATTTTGGGTTTTAAACAGCGCGTTTAAGAACATCTCAGATCTGCCTTCTCTATCCCAATGGCAGAGGTGAGTACGCATTTTGAAAGGCTGGGGCCTGCGTTCAGAGAACAGAAGGGTGTTCTTTACCCGTTGAATCCAGTTTGAGCGGGATGAGGGCGGGAGTAGGGTGCACCTAACCCCGCGTAAAAGATTTGTGACTATTGTGTGTGCTAGGAGAAGGAGGTCAAAGGGAGGACACACGTCCCGAGAACCAAACAACATCCAAAACACAGGCTTTTTGCCAAACTCTCCTATTTGTAGAGCAGCCTCTTTTTCTACCCATTTTGCTAGTCCTGCCTTAGCCCGTAGATAATTTTGCCACCCACTTCATATTCTCCCCACTTTTCTGGTCTGGGTGAAGGACGCTGCGTTCGAATCCGAGCACTCGGGTGTTAAAGCGTTACTCTTCGCTGGGTGTTAAGTGGGCATGAGGCCTGAGGGTGAAGGAGTAATGCCACTGATTTGCACGTGGTTGAGTCTGTCTGGGTGGATGGTGATTACCAAAACTGATATCAACTGGGCTACTTTTTAGATGTCTATAACCTGACTCTCTAATTTTCCTCCCTTTAACCACAGAATCGTTCTACTTTTGTAAGCCTGCGCTCAGCCAGCCATAGTAGGTTATAAGCTCTAGTAGAGCTTCTACTGAAACTGCGCTCAGGGCAGTTGCCTTAAGACCTCATCTGAGTGGTTGGCTTGTTTATGTTTAAATGTCATTTGCAGTTGCAAAATGATATTTCAGCCTTCTTTTAATCAGATCTGATTGAAGTGAACAGTGGTTGAAGAGGCTATCAAAACCATCAACCCCATTAACTCCTACTCCTTTAATAGTAGGCATCCAGGGAGCCTTGATATGGTTTAATAAACAGCAGTCAGAACAGCATGTGGATCATTCCCAAATTTAACTGTATTTTTATTGGTGTTATTATTTATATGTTTTTGGTCTCGGGTGGATAATAATCACTCAAAAATACATGTTGACAAGAAAAAGATTTTGCAGTACTAAACACTAGCCTATGTCTTTCTCTCAGAGTAATAAAACAGAGTTGCCCCTAAACCTCTTCCTTTGAATTACCAGTGCACACACAATTGTATCATTATTGTCACAAACTCTAAGGTGATTTTCTTTCTTTTGGGTGTGGGGATTCATGATGTTAGGTGGCCAGACAAGCACAAACCTCTCAGGAGCCCTACCACGACAAGGCCAGAGAACACCCTGATGACGGTAAGACACCCATTCTACTTCTTCTGACTTTAGCAGATAAGGTGTGCAATTTGTATAAATAGGTGTGTTTTGTTATTTTTGAATTCAAGAAACTGGGACTAGGTCAGACCATGCCCACTATTTTAATAAAATGGTAAAGAAAATGCAGGAAACTTATGGCTTACCTCTAATGTATGTTACGTAATTTAAAAAGTGTTTTTGAATGAGTTAGGGACCTTTGGATTTCAGGTGGGTTCCAGATTCTTTGGGAAAGAGGGAATGTCTATAATGAGTTTTTCTCTTCTTCATCTTACTTTAAGTTCTAATTAGCTTAGATCTTTAGTATTTTTAATATATTATTAAGAAGAATGACAGTATATATTTATTTATTTTCCAACCAGAATAGTTTTGAGTGGATTTTCACTTGCAAAATTGCTGTTTCTTGTTCCTTATTACAGTGAAAAGGCGGTCAGTAAATGAGCAGAGCAGAATCTAACTTGTAAAAACATAAAACTTATAATTAAGAATGTGCATATCAGAGATGATATACTTTCTCCGTATTTCTGATTCTTACTAAAAACTTTAAAATTACATACATATGTATTTAGACTTAAGGAGAATTCCTTGTGACTTTAAAAGAATGAAGTCACCTTAGGGTTTCCTTGTCAGCCTGTCTGTTCT